TCAGTTTCAGGCTCCAGAATTCAAAATTTCAGATCTTCCTTAGTTTTCATAATAGTCTCACAGTTAAATGGCAGAGCATGCTCAGGAATTACATCAAAAATAGCCACTGTGAATGATATGTTAGTTAGCAGACTGGTTGCTATGCATTTGGGGTCATATTTGAATCATGAATAATACATTGATTTTAGTAATTGCATACTGTCTTTGTAAAAACTGGTCAATTTGAAAATCTCAAGAGATCAGCAGTAAAAAAAAAAAGGAAGTTCACTAGATCTTGAGATGCTCTTAATTATCACTGGGATCTAACTTAAGCAAAATACCTTCAGATGCTTTACCATAATTAAATAATTCAACCCTGTTCTTATCAAGAACAGAGCACTTAAATACTAGATTACAAATTTTATTAATAAACTAGAAGATTATAATTAAAACAATTTAAGTATAAACAATTTTGTAACTAAAAGAAGGGAAAAGAAAAAAGATAACTGATATTTATTAGGATCATTTTGCATGGAAAAGTTTTAACTACTTACAGGTAACATGATGTGAGGTGATTCTGTTCTTTATCCGATAATTTGATTTTTAATAAAGATTTAGACTGTGTGAGGCTGACAGTATAGGAAACAAAAATAAACAGAAAATAATCTTTAGCAGCCTCCCTTGCTCAAATAATTCAGATAGACTTTTCTGTGACATATTATGGTACCGAAACTATTCTGTTAACTTCTCTAGTGTTTGGAACTAAAATACAAGACAAACTTATTCAGAGCTTGCATTACTTCATTCATCCAACAAATGCAATGCACCAAGAAAGATACATCTATTTGAAACTTATATCATCTTTAAATTTTTATTTCAATTGTTCATTCAGTATTATTTTCATTATGCATTATGTAATCCTTGTATTACTATGATAATCTGGGAATATATATTTATTTCATTGAGAAAATTATAAAGAAAAAGCCACTAAATGTTTGCATGTTATTTTAATCTGCAAAGTGATTTACAAAGTTGTGATTTTGGTCAATTGCAAGAAGTGTAAATAAGTCATTATCTTCTCAAAGATATCAGACAAAATCTTTGAAGGCTTATCTTAGCATCTAAATTGAAAAATATTGAAGGTACATACTAACAGGTGCTTGAGTATGGCTAAATAAAAAACAAGGAATGAACACCGGGTATGTTGGGCTTGAAATGCTTGCATTATTTTCTGAAAATTGTTGATTTTACAATTTTTTTTTTTTTTTAAATTTGAAAACATATTTAAAAAATATTACTAAAACTGATTTTGATTTTTACTTTTCAAGGTTTTAATAGTAATTTTTCCCAAAATAAAAGAAAATAATACAAGCAAGCAGTTCCCTAGTTTGAGTTACAGGAAATTGATTCTGTAACTCTTTTGACAAAATATGCATTCTTTGAAAACCAAAGCAAACTGTTCTTGTATCACAGTAGTAAAGTGCTAGAAATTCAATAAAAGTCTGATTAAGATCCAACAATCAACAGTCTTAATCAGGATAACTTAAGTCATCTGCTAGTTGTGTACCAATTTTTTACACAAATTTTCTGTATAAAAACTATGCTCATACAGATCATTTCAGTGGTTCCAAACCATTAGTCATTAAATCAGTTAATAACAATCACACAATGGAAATGTAATAAGCCATTAATAACAAATTCCAGTTTATTAAAAACCCATTGCGTGTGTATTTTTTGCTCGTTTGCAGTTTTACACAAAAAAAAATACCCAAATTTGCTAATCTCCAGCTTCAAAATGATAATATATTCCACAATAAATTTATAAAATCAATAGTATAATTTCCAAATATTGATTTATAATAGGTGCATCTTACATAATTAGCAACACTGTTGTATAACAGTAAAAATTTCCTATTTTCCAATCTTATCTTTGTGAACTTAAGGACTTTAAAAACAAATAACAAACATTATACATAAAATATCATATTTTCATAAGCTATTGAATGAAATATCTATGCAAAATAATTTTTCAAATGCACAAGTTATCAACATAGTAACTCTGATTTTACAACCAAGAGCTATGAATGAGTTATCAGTTGTGATTTTCTTAAAACAGGTCAAAAAATATATTAAAGGACTGAAGAGAGTTAAAAATTTTGCTGATTCTTGTACAGAGATCAATGCAAGTCAAATATCACCAACTATACTTCTAAAAGTATGGCTAATATTTTGAACTTGAAACGTAATGTGAAAAAAGAATGCATTCTTGTAAACAATCATCATATTTATTCCCAGTATACTAAAATGTCTTTTCCTTGTAAAGTCATAAAAACCTCTAAAAATGTTATACTAATTAAAGTTATACAGAAAATTTTATGACTTCTGACTGAGTGAGTGAAGCCAAAAATGCTACTATACTACATGTAAAGCTCTAAGAATCTCATGACTATAAGTTAGGAACCACTGCTATATAATTAAAAAAAGGCTAAATAGTTTACATAGTTGAAGCTAATTAACATAAAGCACTTCAGTTATTATTTAAAACTTTAAATGAATAATTTAAATCTTTTTGTACATGTACTTTAAATTGAATGTAATGCCAACAAACACTAATCTTTCTTTAATAAAAAATTATCTAAGATTTATATATTTCTCATCACATACAATGATGTTATGAACATTACATGTTTGTTAAAATTCTTAGATAAAAATATATACGATAATTTGTACATACTGAAGTATGAAACACATTTAGCTATACATTAATCATCTAATTAACAGATATTTAAAATTTCTATGATTAAAAATTAAATATATTCTTTTAATGTTTTCACAACACATGCATTTAGGAATTTCTATAAAAGCTTTGTGCCCTTAAGAGGGAGAGATTACAAATAATAAATGCTTAAAGCTAACATTAAAATTTAAAGAAATTTATACAATATAGTAATTTTGGCAAACTACTGCATTCAAAGCAACACAAAAAAGCATAATAAAATGATACAAATTTAACAATTTTCTTGAATTTCATGCAGAAAATCTCAAAGAAAAATTAAAAATTTTTTAAAGTTCCATGCTTAAAATCTATCCTTCAAATTTTTCATCTTATTAGCATACATAACTATTTAAGGTTATTAAGCTTGAGAAACATGAAGAGTGAAATTAACCAGTGTATGTTGGCACAACATACAGTTAACAAATAAATCATGCATAAAAATATTTGTTAAGTAACACATATAAATTAGGCTTAACTTCACCACTAAAAGGCAACTTCACTGTCTACAACCTTAAAATAAGTAAAACACTGACATTCTCATCCACAGTACAATACTTCCAACACAGTAGGATTGAATCATACAAAAGGAGCAAAACTCCTGGATGGATTTATATAAACAAAAACTCTGGATATATAATATTTTCTTTAGTTCTTTCTGTACAGAAATATACAAGGTAAAATTATATGAACATCAAAACAGATACATAACAAAAAAGAAAAAATCTACTTGGCTATTAAAATATACAGATTTAAAATCTGATAGTAATAAGTAACCTAAATAAAACTGTAATGACTATATGCTATGTAAAGTGCAATATATCTATGGGTACCTGAAATTCTGACTGCCGTCACCCTTTGGTTTAAAAATATACATAATGCCTCAACAAAGAACAAACACTCGGGCTTTTCAGGTTTTGGTGTGATAACAGCCAATGATGTAACTATGGTAAACAACAAAGAGTAGCACTTGCCTATTCAAGCCAGGCAAGAAAGCTCACGTCAAAGTACTAGAGGTGACAACATAGCAAATAGCTTTGTATGCCCTCAACGTTATAAGGCCTACAGGCATGACTATTTCAACCAGGGCAATGTAAGGTTTGACTGTATTGCCACCTGTTGCTTCCATAGTTATACCATTGATTACATCATAACAGTAGAAAGCTCTGGTGTCATAGACGTGGCACACAAAATACTAGAAGCTACCTCATCATGACTTTAATAAAACAATCAATTTTTTTTTACTTTTTCTTTTAATTTTCAAATAAAATTGTTAATGCATTTGAGTATAATACATCTTTAGAAAGAGCAGAAAATAAGGATTATTTTTAGCAAAAAATATTCTGCAACATGCAGGATATGTAAGACTTTCTATGTATTTAAAAGGACCAAATAAACTAACAAATTCTACAATTCTGCAATAATTGTAAAAATTTTAACATTACAGATTAGATTTTCAATATTTAAAACTCTTTTTCAAAAAAAAAAATTTTTTTTTTTAAATTTAACCCCTTAACTGCCGCGGGCGTATATATACGGCTTGCTCAGCCGATGCGTTAACTGCCCCAGATGCGCAGCCAATGCGTTAACTTTGAGAATAATTTTAGGTGTAGCAGCGCAAAGCAAATGATAGCAGTTTGGAAGGACGTATATATACGCCTGGGGCAGTAACGCATCGGCTGAGCAAGGCGTATATATACGCCCGCGGCAGTTAAGGGGTTAAACAAACCAGTAAAAATGGTTTGCATTCTTTCCAAATAAAAGAGAACAAAATATTGATAAGTATTATGCTATAAAATATCTTGTTTGACAAAATGCATGATGATATAACAGTTATTAACAAAAACCATATAACATTAAAAAAAGCAATGGGAAGCATTTTTAACTACGTGCAACCTGAAAAACCTATAAAATTTTGGAAACATAGATTGTTTATGTTTTTGATGTAAAACAATTATGAAATTTATTATGATGAACTTACTGTAAGAATCCATTAGAAAATAAAGTTTTTTTTATGTGTTTCAAAAGTTTAAATAATTTAATTCAACATTTGTGTGAAAGGTTGGATATTCAGTACAAAGTCAGTAATCCGGACTCGTTGGGACTTCGGCGATTCCGGATTAGGGGTTTTTCTGGATTATCAATGGTATGGCATCATCCGGGGGTACATCATTTTCTGGTGGCAGCAGAAATAGAAATTAAATATGAAACTGTAATTTATGAATAAGAGTAATTATGATCTAAAAGGTATCAAATTTAAAAAAAAAAGCTTAATATTTATTTGTTTACTTTATTAAACATTTTTCAATGCACGCATGCATAGTATGCGCATGCGTAAAGTTTGTGGCTTTGAGGTCCGGATTATAGATCATTCAGCATAACGGACATCTGCATTACAGACTTTGTATTGTATTTATTCTTTTGAATAAAGATAAAATAATCTGACTTGGCCTCCCCCAAAATAAATTTTTGAAATTTTTAATTCTTTTGGGCTTTCCACATCTATAAACATTTATATGACAATGGTGAAGCAATTAAATGTTCTTCAAATTATGCCTTGTCTTATACTACTAACTTTAAATATTTAAGTACCAATGGATCCAGAATTCTAGAGTGCCCAATAATACTGATTTTCAATATTTCAAAATATTTTTTAACACTTTCAACTCTCTTTAATTTTCCTCTTCTCAAACATTCTAATACAATCTACATACATTAAAAAGTTATCATTTTCATTTGGAACTTACTACATAAATTCTGTAACTAATAATATCTTAAACATACTAGGAGCAAATAGATTAAACTCAGTTATCATCAAAATTAGGGTGAAAGTAAAAGTCAGCATCCTTGAGGCTCTGACAACTGTTCTTCTGTGAATTACATGGACAAAACAACAATCAGATGAGTTATCTTATTTGATTATTTTGTAAAATAAATTAGAAACATTAATGTATTTCTTGGAAGTAATTCCAAGCATACATCTTAAAACTTAAGGGAAAAAATCAAATCCTGCAAGACAACCCAATTTATAATAACCCTATGGAGATAATAAATACACATGTTGGTCCCATCTAATTTTCTATATACTTAATGCTATATAGCTATAGCAAACTTCCATGTTAAGATAAAATTTAACAAACCTTATCTTAGAATGAACTTGTCTTTCCCCTTCTTCTTTCTTCCTTCCTGAATTTCTGCAAGTTTTAACAAAACAATTTCTATTCCTAAAATTTATCCATATGTAATCCATTAGAATAGCTAAAAACACCTTAACATTACTTTTTTCATCTCCACTTTTTTGTATGATCTGAACAAAGACTATATAGAGAAGTGTAATACCCAATTTTTGGAAAACCAGAATACAATTAATACATCTCAAGAGATTATACTGTAATATAACAACCTCAGCCAGAGAACTTGAATGGATTTGATGATATAATTAAGCTATTTGATTGAGCTGTAAGGCATAACTCTAAGCAATAAAGAAGGAATCAATATATTTTATTATTTCAAAGAAAGGAACTAAACCATGACTTTTATGTTCAATTTATGTAAAATTAATAATGTGCAAAATAAAACTGCACAACATTAACAAAAATTAATAATTGCGCATAATAACTAATTAACTGTTCCTAAGTTTTTTTAGAGTTATTAGTCACTTCTTTTGGCAGATGTGACAATGATTTGAGGGGGATCCATTAGTCCATTTTTTGCAAGATAATTAATTTTTCTTCTTGGATAAGATGTAACATACCACCTGGTATAGCAAACTAAATTTCTAATTCCTTGAAGTTCATTATAGCAGGTTTTGACTGTATTTCATGAAGCAGATTAATTTTAGAACACTTTCAAAATAATCCTCTTGGAAATTGAACTTTTATTACCAACAATTATAAAATTACTTCTAAGGATAAAAACTACAATTCATAACTAAATGAATTTGGAGTAACTGCTCAATTGTTATGCTTTCATGATAGCCAACCCCTATATTCCTTAATTTCATGGCAATGAATATTAAAGTAGCACAATGTAGATGCAATGACTATAAAACAGGAACATTCTCATAATGTATTATATATTTAATAAAAAGATTTTTTTTTATATACTGCAAATCTAACTTAGTATTTTAAAATTCAGAAAGGTATCCATCCCACTGCTTACTGCACGTTCCCTTAATATGTACACACAATATTCATTAGCCCCATATATTAAAAATCTTTAAATGTATTACTTTAAAGATACGCTAGTAGTTTTATTAAATTGTTTATAAATTCTAAATCTTTAATAATTACATAAAATGTTTATATATATATATTCATTTTGATAAATAAAAAAATTACTATGACCAAAGAGAATAATTTTTATTTATCTGAACAAAGTTAAAAAAAGAAAAGAAAAAACATACTCAGTGCAAAACTAATCTGCTTTAATACTAAGAATTCGTTAAAGCAACAGAAAAAAGATGAAGATAGAGCATATGATACTTTAATTCCTTTTCTGATTTTTATCTAGTTAATTACTAGCTAAAATTTATAAAATATGGAAGCATAGAATAAAAACTGCTACGAATCATTAAACGTTAAAAATTAAATTACATATTTAAAAACATTTCCTGAATCAAACTGTTACTTTCTAACAGAACATTATCCTGTAAAGTAGTGGTGTTAAAATCATCGGCCATGAGCACATTTAGGGTCGCAAGGTGGATAAAAATCCTAAAAAAATCTGAATTCATGATACACAACTAATGATTGGTGCTCTGACTGGGGTCGTGAAATTATTCTATGCATTCTAATAATAATCTCTGTACACAAACTTAAAATATCTAAAATTTCTGAAAACCAGAAGTTACTTCAGTCTGTAATTTACATACATATTTTTTCACGGGAATCATCAAAATTGTACAAAATCAGAACTTGGCAATTAATTAACACGATTTATTCCATAGATCATCAATAACTATATTCTTAATTTAAATCTACTATGGCACGTCTCCATATTATTTTCACTGATAAAACTTTTTTTTTAAATTTGTATTCATTATTATTGATTTTAAGCAAGAGGAATGAATGAAAAATAGTAAAACGTCATTGATTACTTAAAGCAAAAAAAATATTTAAGTTGAAATTTAATTCTTATTTTTCCAATATATAGCTAAATTTAATAATATATTATTAAAAGAACAAGTATTTTAGCACCACAGATAATAGAGCTAACCAAAATTCAATATTAATTATATTTCATATTAAAATATTTATGTATTATTTTTGCCTTATATAATTTATAACTACCAAAGTTCAACTGCTATTAATTAGTAAAACTAAAATATCTCACAATAAATCTTTTTTACAATTTCTTAATTATTAAATTTTTTACTAGATGTACTTCACTATATTACTAAATAGCTCAATCATAAAATATAAAGTCATTCAATACTGCAATCTAACAGACTGTGTCTAAAATCAAAATGGTTTGGTTTACTTAATTATGGCAAAGCACACTAGGGCTACCTGCCTAAGGGGAGGGATGCCTTCGTGGAGGACTTTCTAAGGGGAACTGGCTCGTATACACAGGGAAAGCCATGAAAACGCCGACGCAGCCAGCTTGTTAGCGGGATTTGAACCTCGGGCCCAACTACCAGTATTAAGGGACTTTACCGCTCAGCCGCTGGTGGGTCCTAAAATCAAAATGAATCAGGTCTTTGCTCCTGCAGCATGAAAAATTTAAAAATTCAAATTGTAAAAAATGAACTACTAGCAAATAGTAATATTCAAAATGCTTATTAGCAGTTCACTGTCCTGGATAGTATGGCAGTTAGTGAAAGCTGACTGCCAGCTGATATGATACCAAGAGTGAATCTTAGATTCATATAAAACAACTTAATTGTTTGCATAATTTATTCCTTTTCTTGTGAATGCATCACAATCTGTCTTGTGATGTACCATAGGCTATATCTGGGTCAAAAGTTTGTAAAATGATGAATAACTTCAAGCTGTCTCTCAGAAAATGCTATGCAGCAAAATATCCAGACATTGAAAATTAATTTTTTTTAAAAAAGTAAAAATAAGATTTTTATTACATTTTGTAATATTAATGAAATAGTAACAAAAATTGTTTTAACTATCAGTAGTACATTATTAGTCCCCTAAGGAAATCTGATGATAAAAATGAAATTTCAAATCTAATTTAATACAGAAAATACTTTTAACATCTGCTCACATTTCAGATATTTTCAAATAATTTTGTTAGTATGATTCAAATATTAAATACAATTTCAGCTGAATCTTTTATTAAAAAAATCATTTCTACTTGATTATTTTATACTTTTAAGTGAATAATTCTTTCGGTAAAACTAAAAATACAGTCTCGTGCTAATAAATGCAAACTTATTTAAATTGATTTCTAAAAAAATTTAAAAACTAGATGATATAATTAGTGCATTGTATGATTAACATTATGATTGTATGATTAACAGTAAATAATAAAATTTTATGTATAAACTTCTTGTCTATACTTATTCAGAGGTGATATTCAGCTCCTACAAACTCGCATATCTATAACAGTTTTGTTAAAAATTTATGAAGTTCCTCATACCATTTCTATCATTCATTTATTAAGTGTGTGAATAATGAATAAGAAAAATGCAAGCATATTCTTAAATTTAAGAGTAGAAAAACATTCTGTATTACTATAAATTATGGCAATGGATGCATCTTTTATCTAATAATGTTGCAATGTTCATAAAAATTATCATTTGAATGTGTTATAAATTAAATGCATTTATAAAGTGTATGAATTAGAAAAATAAAAAATATAAATTTTTTAGAACACTTACTGCATTTAACACAATTTGTTAAGAAATTATTGTTATAATTTGAAAGAACATTCTACGAACTGACTATTTCCAAAGCGACATGAAAGATGAACTTATTGCTTTTAACTTGGTTAAGCAATTACTGCTATAATTTGAAAGAACGTTCTAAGAATTGACTATTTACAAAGCTATATAAAGATAAATAAAAAATATTGTATCTCACAAGATAGAAAATTTGCCAGTTCATTTATATAAGTGATAAATGCCTGGTAGTGTAAAGTGACTCAATTTAACCACCTAAACTTTTGAGAAGATTCTGCAGTAGACATTTCTAATATCAAACCACAGCCAAATTCATCAGATCATGATTCACATGAGCATTTACAATTGGCAATTGATCACATGTGTGGCAATATAATTTTATGTCATTCTGAAATACCCATACTTTCAAATTTCAACTGCCAATAGCCATATGTCCAAATAGAAGTCTCAAATGTCAATATTATCACTCTTGTTTGGCTACTTATAAGCATTTTGTTTGTTCAGAATTCAAAAACGTTTTCATGCTGTTATGTTCTTATTGCTTCATTTTCAGATGCATTTGAAAAATCTAAAAATTGCTGCCTCTTCATTGTAAGAGAGAAATAAAGAAAATGTATAATAATTAATTATAAATTGGAATTAATTTTTTAAAATCATATGTTTACAACATTAACTTCTGCATAACACAAATATTGTAAATAAACTGCTCTTTGAGTGATCATTAAAAAAAAAAAAGCATACAAAATATATGAAAATAATCTGATTATGTTCGATGCTAAGAAGTATAAAAATACCTTTCATTTTTAGCATTTAATGAAATCAGAATGTTTTCATATACTTTTCCATACTACTATAACTATATTAAACATTTAAAAGATATTTATATTCAAATATAAGATCTTCTGAATTATTTCAATACAATAAATTCTGAACTTGGGCGGATGAAATTTGTGAAGCACCATGGCTTGAAGACTCGAACAGAATAAAAGAAATTGAAATTACAAACTGCAACATTTCAGTAAAGGATTTCAAGATATTATCAATGGTACAGATAATAAAAAGTAAATTCATTCAAATACTTTTCCAAATGAAAAGAATTTTGAATAAATTTTTTTCTAATTCCACTAAAGCTACAGATAGTTTAGTATAATGGATAACAATTTTAGTAATAAAAGAAAGACTTTTCTCCTAATAAAGATATTAGTCATTTAATAATTTAGTGGGAAAACCTATGGATACGATACTACTCCACACCTTAAATTTCGATTGAAACAGCTATCTTGAAAGTGATAAATGAAAGCAGGTCTCCATCTCACGGAATATATCAGAGTATAATTTTAATATTATTTTATGACATATAAATAAATAAATAAATATACAGAAATAAATGTCTATGGAGCAAACCAAATGAATATCATCTTTCATTACATATTAAACACAGGGCAAAACTTTTTAATGAGCTGAATTCAATGCCACTACGCAGAATACGAGCTATTAATTTCAACTTTTCACAATTCAACATGCTGTATTTGAAATACTGTGAACTAACTGTATTGTTGTCACTACCATAATTCATAACATAACTATAAAAATTAATTAATTTATATTAAAATTATATGCATTTACATAAAAAAGATGAAACTTTTGTACTTCTTCCTACCAAAAATCTCTTTGCAGTTTCTGTGTAGATAAGTATTGACATATTCCAGTTATGTAGAGAAAAATTTCAAAGCTTTCCCATTGCTGCCTATTTATACAAATAATAAGATACCAGAGTGCATACATCTTTTAAGAAATAAGTTTAAAATTAATACCATGCATTAAAAAATTACTGAAAACAAACAAATCATAAAATTCCTAATAATGTACATTACATTCAGACTTTCTCATATACAAACATATAAGAAGATAAACATGAATGGTTAAAGCATGTTACTCTTGTTGGCTATTTTAATAAAAAAAAATTATACATCACTGCACTTTAAATTTGAAACCTGATTAACAAATGGCAACATGACTATGCTTCAAGATTTGAAACAAGTGTTAATTGGAAACAATAGCAAATAGTATGCTAATCATAACATTATAATATATATAAACTTTAATACTTCTACCTATACTAGATATGTGCATGTGGTAAAAACATTCTACATAATCCTTCTTGCAAGAAAGATCTAAAATTTTAAGAAACTACTGCTTTGATATTGCAATAACAGAAGTTATTCGTTTGTACTTTAGTAAACTTTCGGAATCCTTAGATGGTCTCTACTTACAACAGTGTTTTAACAAAAAACATCACTCATTGGTAGGACGATGATACTGTAGATCTTCATATACATATATATATGTATGTATGAGTGCTAACAATTCAGTATCAGGTTGTTAACATTCTATAACTTCTAATCAAGGTTATTTGCTAAAAATGTCATAAAAATTTACAGTCTTATACTACATTTGGAGAACCTTGAAATATTTCTCAAACAATAAACTGTGAGAAATACCAGGGCTCCCAAAACTTGAAACGTCAATTTACAAGGTGAGTGTGTGTGTGTGTATAAGTATACATAACTTTTATATATATATTCCTGTCAACATGAATGTCATGAGTTAGCATGAGTTTTACTATGTGCATTCAAGTTTCCACGATTTGCAAAACCTTTACCACATGATTCACACTTGAATGGCTTTTCACCAGTATGAACACTCATGTGTCTTTTTACAGTAGACTTTTGAGAGAACCTTTTGCCACACACTTCACAAGCAAAAGGCTTTTCACCCGTGTGAGTTCGCATGTGTATTTTAATTCGTTCTTTATCAGCAAAACGCTTACCACAGACATCACATGGAAAAGGACGTTCACCTGTGTGGGATCTCATATGCCTTGTAAGTGATGTCTTTTGAGAAAAGTGATGACCACATAAGTTGCATGTGAATGGTTTCTCTCCAGAATGGCTCCGTAAATGCAACTGATAAACATTTTTAGAAGCCAAGTGTTTTCCACACAGAGTGCATTGAAAAGGTTTTGCTGGATCACCAGACAACACAGGCTGTGGTGGTGTTGTTAACCTTGTGGAATTTGAAGTCGAACCCTGAGATTGGGTTGGATGTAGACCACAAGGGCTTCCATTTTTGCACATTAAACAGTTCCATTTTTTGTCCGAAGGCTTTGACTCCTCATTGTCCTGAGGTGAAGAAATGGCGTTAGCAGTCGAAGTTACGACTGATGTGGAAACGCTCCCTGCAAATGCAATGGTTGAGGCTTGCGAAGGCACTGGATTTGTTAATGCAGAGGTCGTAATTGCGATCGTGCTGGTGACAACCACCGGCAGTTGGACCGCAGCTGCAGAAGGAAGATGTATGGAGGCAATGCTGGGTAATCCTGCGCTGGCATTTAAAATTATGGAAGGGTTGAAATCTGAGGCACTAGCAGAAGCTCGGGATGATCCGGGCTCTTGTTTTATGGTCACAACTGGTATTTGCGCACTCGTATGATTAGCACCAATTATATTTGAAGCTAATGAAGCACTGAATTCTCTCTTTACCAATGGTGATAAACCTGAAACTACTGTAAATGGAGGAAGAGGGCCTGATCCAGTAATCATGCCAGGCTCTTGCTTGATAGCACTGGATAGGCCAACAGATTTTAAAAGACCACTGTAAATATTATTATTGGTAGATGTTACACAATTTGAAGTTACAACAGAATCACCAATGGGTGATTTGGCAGCTGATACAGCATTTCTTAAAGTTGAAGAAAGAATGCTTGGTAGAAGAATAGGTGAAAGTGGTGGTGATGACAGCACAGGGGACAAAGAAGACAGTTGAGACACAGTAGCAGTACTGTCTGAAATGTTGATATTTGGCAGGGAAGATTGTATTGTTAAAGGAAGAGCAGAAGATAAACTAGACTGTAATGAAGCCAGAGCACTAGCAGAAAGGTTTGAAAATAAAGATGGGAGTACAGTTGTTGTTAAATTAGGCAAAGATGGTTCTTTTTCTTCAGATGAAGGGGATTTATTTCCATGATTAATAACTGATGCTTCATTCATATCTAGTGAAACATCAACTGTTTTATCTTTAGAGTTAGTTGTACTCTCTGCTAGGTTTCTATTCTGAAGAATATTTGCACTTGAAACAGAAATATCACCTTCATTTATTTCTTTTTTTACATCTGCTGTTTCTGTATTTGAAGAAGATGTAGGAATTAGGATATCATGATGAGTTAGAGACTCGCCTTTTGCTGACATAACGGAGGTGATGACACCTCTTGGTATACGTTGCATAGTTGATCTGAGTTTCGATGGGGGTGACTGAGCTCGTAAAAGCTGTTGAATAACACTAGCTGTTACTGCAGATGGGTTCACATTTGTTATAGTATTTTGTTGAGTATCAGAAATAGTAATTTTTTCAGGAGATTTCATAGTAATCATATCACTATTACTATTTTGATCTGCACTAACACCAGTTACTTTATTTGAGGATATGGTTTCAGCACTTGTTATCACAGTAGACTCATTTATGACTTGAGACTGCTGCAGTAAATTTTTTTCAATTATAGAAGACCGTGCAATATTGTGTGCTTTCAAAATTTTTCTCGCTTCTACCTGATTAAGGGCACTCTGTACATTTGAATAAATAATATCTGAACTTTGAGTAGTTTCTATACAATCTGGAATTATTACTTCAGTATTTAATGCATTTTCAATATTATGATTGATATTTTGATTTCGAGATTGTTCAGACCTTAACCGTTGCTCAATAGCTTTAATTTCTACAGGAGAAAACTTTGGTGAAGAATCAATATTAGAGGTTGACATGATTACATTTGTTTCAATAGCTGAAACAGATGTGGGTTGTGACCTCTGATTAACACCCTCAGCATAGTTATCTGAATGTTGAATATTTTCACTAACACTGAAATGAGATGGCATCATGACTCGAGCAATTGATTCGTCGCTTGAATGCAGAGTAAAGTGTCCACTTACAGGGGTTCCTGACCGTAAATGCTCACTTATTTCAGCTACTTTCTGCATTTCTTCCATTGCCAAGTGTTGTGATACCTGAGATGGGGAAGTGGAAATATGCATAATCTCCCTAAGAGGCACAACTCCCACAAAATTTGGAATAGAACTGGTGGATGTGATGGGTAAATTTAGATTATTATCTGAGTCCAACTGAGAGTCAGTCATTTCAGATAAACTATGTTTATCTAACATATCTGGTCCCAGAGACGACATCACAGTATTAGCTTTTATACACCTGCTTTCCACAATGGATGCAATGTGGCTAATAGAAGTTGATGAGCAAACTAATGATGATGATAGAGGAACATCTACATTTTCCATTACTACATCTGTACATGTACTATGCCTTGATGAAGAGACTTCCATTGGACTAGCTAAAGATACACTATTAAGAGTGTCACAAGGACTTGAGGTTAAACGCTGGATGTTGTTCATTGATGTCATAACATCAAAGGAATTGTTGTTACCTAAAAAGTGGGAGATGCCCATAATCATATTAATATTGGAAGGTCTGCCAAAAACATCAAACCTTCCTTTTGCTGATGAACGTATGATAGTTGAAACGGGGGGTAAACCAATACCTGATGATATACTTACACCTGATGGCAAATCCAAAGAAGATGTGCTGCTGTTGGATGAAGGAGACAAGCAAACACCATCAGCAGTCACACCTTCCTGTAAGGTAGCACCAATATCCAACTGTGAAGTGCTACCAACAGATAATTCTGAAGTTTGAGAATGATCCAGATGGTAGTCGGCAATGGATGAAACTGGCCCATCTAAATCCTGTTGCTCTTGCAACAGACTTTGCATCTCCATGTGATCTTGAGTGCTTGTCACTGATTGGTGATCAAGAGAAAGTAGATTATGATGCATGTCAGACTTTTCTAACTCTTGGTCAGTTGGTGGTGACTTTTTATGACCCAAAGCTGATGAAGCGGCATTCATTAAATCTGACTCACGCAGAAAATTCTGCGCAGTTATGTTGTCTACCACACTCAAATGATCCTCACTACTATCTGATTCTTGCGAAACTGATTCCTGAGAAACAATGGCATGTACTGACAAGGTAGGGCCATCAACCATCATTCTATCATCGTCGCACACTCCTAACGATTCTGATGTAGAATCTGCATCATGTGTAATCCCTGAATGCATGAAGGAGGCTGAATTTGAAGTTTCTTGCGACATTATTTCGGCAGTACATATTGCACTAGATAACTGTGATGAACTCACAGATGTGGAAACAGAATTGTTACACAATGATGTGAGGTTGCAGATGTCAGATGGTTCATGGATATCAAGGGTTTCGCTACTGTTCCAAGTGGTAGCCATATTATCTGAAGCACTGGAGCCCACTACAGGTACGGAGACCATAGTGGGCTCCCGCTCACCACTGGAAGGTGTCTCAGGAGGTCCAGAGCAATCACTCATTTTGTCCCTTCATCTGGTCAATCTTTGGTTCACAGACATGGATCATTCTAAATGAGCTGCAAAATAGACATGTGGTCAACTGAGATTTTTTTATCATTTTTTAATCACTGCTAATTACAAAACATTTAACAATTGAATTTTCTGAATATAAATATATACAACAAAAATCAAACTTTTTAATGTACAAACATATTTCCAAGTTCTGAAAAATCCCAGAAATACCACAATGCATCCTATATATGCAATTCAAGGTATTTTAGAAAAAAAAAAGACATTGAAATTTCAGTTTAAAAATATAAATATGCATCGCCACAGAATTTAATACTACTCTAAATATTTTTTTATATTTAATTTTACCATTTAGCTTTTAGCTTGTTTAAAATAATAACTATTAACAAAATAGAGAACAAAGTACAAGATTCAAAATTTTCAAGACTGGTGATTTCAAATTCTAGATTTTAGAACATCAATTTAAATCTAGTTAAGATGATATGTGGAAATAACAAAATTAAGAATATTCTTTACTAATATTTCTTTGACAAAGAGGTATTCTGCATATAGAAAAGAATTTTTTCTGAATCACCCCACATGAAATTAAAATTTCCATTTTCCATATTTACGCTTACTGAATTCATATACAGCAGGGATGTCAAACTCATAGGTACACTTGGGCCAAACAAACAAGGTTTAACTTTAGGCGGGCCGCAAAAAAAAAAAAAAAAAAAAATCAATATTCATAGACACGTAGATTTATTTTGAATAATACAATAATAAACATATATATATATATTTATACAGAAAAGAACAAGAAAAATTTAATGTTTACGTCCTGATACTTGACATCTCTTCTCTGCTATTATCTTTCCTATTTCGGGAGAAATTTTGTTTGCAGTGATAACTTTCAATGCTGACCCAAGGTGAGCATCATTAATACGGTTTCTAATAGGAGACTTATTACCTTTCATGGCTGAAAATAACTGCTCGCACCGATAAGTGCTACCAAACATGGAAATAATTTCATATGCGAATTTTCGAGTATTTTCAAACCTGGCTGGTAAATATTTGTAAAATTCAGGCACGCCCACTTCAATGAATTTTGCTTTCAAATTTGAGTTGCATTGAATCTCGATCACCTCCATTTGCATATGGCTGGGTACGAAGTCAATACTTATTGAGAAAATCAAAGAAAACAAACAACAAAAAAAAAAAAAAAAAATTGTCTTCGAGGGAACTAAAATCATTAAACCTTGTTTCAAATTCAGTTGTTAAATTTGCAATTTTTTCTGCGTATTTTTGATACGAACAAGTATCATCTAAACTTGATTTGTTCATGCTGCACGTCGAGAAGTGCGTCAAATCTTCATTTTTAAGTTGTTTTTCCCAAAGGACTAGTTGACATTTGAATGCTTTAATTATGTCAAACATGTTCGTAATGATATGATCTTTTTTCTAAATTTAAATTGGTTAAGTGTTTGGTTATATCAACGAAGAAAGATAAATCTTGTATCCATATTGGATCGCAAAACAAACTTACGTCTTGATTTTTCGTTTTTAAAAACTGACACATTTCTTCTTTCAAATCCCAGAATTGTTTGAGAATCTTGGAGCAAGATAACCAAACAACGTACCTCGGTATAGTAGGACAAACCCGAATATTCACTATCTAACTCGCTAAGAAAGCAGGGAATTGACGCTGATTTAAACCTTGAGATCTTATAAAATTTATAACTTTTTTTTATATATGACAAAAACATTCTCCTATTTATTACTTTCGTGCATAGAACTTCTTGATGTATAATACAATGCATATGATGAATGTTTGAACCGTGAATTTCACTAAGTTTTTTTCTTAGTAATGCTACGAAGCCCTTGTTTTTCCCGGTCATTGATGGAGCGCCATCTGTAGCTACAGAATTTAATTTTGCTAGAGGTAGATTGTATTTCTGCAGAAGTCCAAAAACACAAGTAAATATATCTTCTCCTGTGGTAGTACCAGGCATCGGTATTAGTTCCAATAATTCCTCAAAAATGTTAAAATTCTTGTCACAAGAACGAAGAAACACTGCTAATTGAGCTTTGCCACTAATGTCTGTGCTCTCGTCACAGGCAATGGAGAAACTTTCGAAACTAGATGATTTTGCTTTGATCTGATCACTTAAATTCGCGGCTAAATCAGTAACTCTTTCCGCAACTGTATTTCGAGACAATGAAATAGATTGAAAAGCCTTCAAATTTCCAGGACAAACAATTTCTCCAGCTTTCATTAGGCATTCCTTGATGAAATTACCGTCAGTAAAAGGCTTCGAATGTTTAGCTATCAACTCGGACAAGACGTAGCTTGCATGTACCGCCGCTTCACTTTCTTGCAATACTTTACTAAACATGGACTGTTGCTTTTTTCACTCCTAACTTGAGCTCTTTCAACTTTTCTTTCTTCATTAATCCTTCGTAATTGTTATATTTTCGATTTGTGTTGTTGTAATGACGTTTAATATTATATAACTTTGGTACATTAGTATTATTACATATCAAGCAGATTATTTTATCTTTTATTTCATTCACAGCAAAAATATTCTAATTCCCATTTTACTTGGAATATTCTATGTTCGTCAGCGATTTTTCGTTTTAATTTTACTACCACTTGGTTTTGATATAGACATACTGAATACAAAGGGCTGGAATAAACACGGTTAACGTTAAAAGTTAACAAAAATTTATTCTTTCCACAAGAGAAAATCAAAATGCTGAAATATTTCTTTCTTCAAAAATATTCTAACAATATCACCAAAATGTCAAACGTTTAGCAAAATCAATTCAAAAACAGAGAAACTAATTCTATCTCACAGCGAAATCGCTACAAATCAATCACAGCATTAAGTAAACAAATAGTTTGCTAGAACTACAGCTACTACTGAGATGAGTTGTTTGTTCTCTCTCGGCTTTTATAAGCTTTATAATTAATTTCTCGAATATACTGGAAACATCTATAAATATCTGGATTTTTGTGGATGGCAACAGCAATTACGTGATATTTATTTATTAGGTATTAAATGCACGCGCTGTTCTATTTTTAACCTTCCAACACAGCTGTCTTTTCAAAAATCGTCTGCATTGCTAAGGCAACATGAAGCAAATCTAATTACAATTCTAAATAAAAAAACTAAATAAATAAATAACTATGAAATCCGTAACAATATGAATTAATTAATAATAAAGCAAAGTGCATGCACATGCATGCACCAATATATTGTACAAAACTATGATTGGAAACTGAGACCATGAGTTCGGCCACATTCGGCTATCGGGGGATGCGTACAAGTTCTGAGTGCACGTGTCCCCCAAAAGCCGAAGGTAGCTGAATGCAAGCTACTCACACGCATTTAGAATTTAAGTAGTATGTGTGTCAGCTCGCTGTGAGTAATCTAACAACACTGAATAAATTATCGTTAATTACTTAGCAGTAAACATTTCATTTTTTTCTTCGTCGATATGTTATTTTATTATTATATATTATTATTTGCCGATATATTGGCCGGGCCGCGAGTTTGACATCCTTGATATACAGAGTTGATTAGATTTGGGCAACAGACAATTATATTAAGACAGCTGGAAGCGATACCTTACATGAAAGCCATAGTAATAATTGTTTATTAATAAACAACCAGAAGTGGCATTTTACTTGAAGCCATTAACAGTTTTTAATGAAAAACTACATTATAATATAATCTAAAACTTCCTAATTTTAGTATTTCTGATTTTTATATCAATGGAAACAACAAATTAGATTTTTGCTAAAACTCATAAACCAGAAGTGATACTTTTTTTTATGCTCTGAACACTTTTGTACAAAAATATGTTATAAGATAATCCAAAACTTTCCAAATTTGGTATTTAAAATATGTATGTAACCAAGATCAACATACAACATTTTAGTATCAAACTGTGTCTTGGAATTATGCAAAAGTATTGCGAATACACTCATTGCAAAGATGAGTTCTTATTATAAAGCAATTAGATATACTATTAGATTCAATCCTTAATTTTGTGCCTGTTTCACTTTTATGTCAAATCACTTTTCAAATAAAACAGTGCTGCCACCAAATGTTATTTAAATGCATTATTGTCAAAGAAACAATATAGTAAGTATAAAAAAAGAAATGAGGTTAATGAATGAGAGGTTAAAAAAATATATATAAAGAATGTAGCAAATAATAAAAAAAAAGATATGGCAACACTAAACACTATTGAAAATTCTAGAGATATGCTGTTTTTAAAACCTTTTGTGACTTTGTTGTTAAATTTTATGGCACATAAGTGTGAAGAAAGTGATGCTTAATAAATAAAGCTAAAGTGATAAATAAAAAATATGGTCTCTTATTAAGAAAACTGAACACTGATATCATGAACTGAAGATGGAAAAATATATGGAAGCACTTAATGCTCTATCAGGAATTCTAAAGATATGGTGCTTTTAAAAATTTTGTAATTGTTAAGACACTAATTTATGAATTTTAAACATTGTATGCTGTATGACCAGAAGACATACTAGAATCAATACAAAATTTTCAAAAGAAAGCATGAGAAAGGATATGTCACAGCACATATACATATATCATTATTCATTATATGGGAGAATAGATTAATATAAAATGAATAATGTTTATAATATAATTTATAAATAATGTTAATGCACAAACCAATAATAAAAAGGCAAAAAGAAAAGTTTTGCAAGCCATCTTAACTAAGAAAACTGAACTGAATGTGATGAACTGAGAAAAGATTTGGAAAAAAATAGAAAAACATATGCCAACACTTGACACTGCATCAGGAATTCTAAACACATGCTGCTTTATTTTTTTTTTTTTTTTTTTTTTTTTTTTTATTTTGTGGTTGAATCATATACAGCACAGCATAAGTTTGAAGAAAATGGTGCTTAATAATAAAGTTAGCAAGAATGAGTGAAACAACAGATTGGCACACTGTGAGCTCAGCATGAGTACAAAAAAAAAAAAAAAAAAAACTTAACAAATCATTTTGGGCGATTTTTTAATCTGAA